TTTTATTTGCCAATCTTGCTACAGCATTTTGTGACCAATTAACAACTGCTCTATTTTGGTAGTCATAAGATAGTCGCAAAATATAGTGACTGATTAGCAACTACATTGTCTTTATGTAGTCGGCCAAAAAATATAGTAACCATTTTTCAACTACATAATTCTCATGCCCTGCAATATAGTCTCAAATATAGTGACTAATTAGCAACTACATTATTCGTATGTGAGTTTCAAATTAGTTGCAAAACTATAACGATTAAGTGAATTAAAAATATTAATAATCCAAATCCATAAAATAATAGAGCTTAATTTAAAAAAGTTGATACTAGTTTTCAATGAAATATTAAGTTCCTTAAAACTTAAAATTCACAATGTAATACATTTACAATTCCTTTGACACAACAAAAATAAGGATAATAGTCACTTATGTCATAGTAGTTGGTTCTTTAGGAGCACTTCCGGCCATAAACTCTCAAAATGTTGGATCTTTACCTCGCATATAACTGACCAGAATCTGCAAAGTGTTGTTGTGTCTTCATTTTTCTGCGGTTTCAGCATCACGTCGAGTATTAGCGACTGCTTGCTCTTCAAGTTGACGTTGAGAAGCTTGTAATTGTTCTTGCAATTGTACAAATGCAGAAGACGTGGAACTTCCTGGACCTCCTTTTCTCAGACAAGTTCCCTTCCATTAGGGACAACTTCTCCTCTATTTTTTTCCTTGGTTTGAGCGATCTACTGGGCTTTAACAAAAATATTGTTCTTGAATCATCTCGTACAAGTATGGTGACTGAGCTTCCCAATGGTGGCCTTGCTACACATCTACGAATTTATATGGAGCTATGTAATAAAAAGTTAGATAAAGATATGTTAGTTAAGGTAAAAATTATTTTTACAGCAAAGTTTTCAAAAGCTTTGATATCTTTTGAGTCAGCTTCCCATCATCCTAAAAGACCAAAAGAACAAAGTATTTACAAGTAAGAAGTTTTTGTGATACACTAAAAGAATTGAAATAAACTCATCAAAGAATGAACCATCTAAGCAAGATACTACCACGTTGACACAAGGCAAACAAACCTGAAGTCCAAAGTATTTCGAATCTAATAAAATGAAAAAACAAGAAATATATAATATAAACAAAGTGAACATCATTAAAAAGTTTGTATAAGAGCAAACAATCAATCAACTATCATCATATGTTCCACACAACCAATATTAAGCCAAAAGAAAAGGTTATCCAAAACAGCGGAGTTTGGTTCAAAAATTCACATCATCAAAGAGAGCACAAATCCATTTACATGAAACAAATTCACATCATTAACCAGACCCCACAGTTTAGTAGTAAACATCTAGAATTACAGCTACAAACTGATACCAAAAATCTAAATTTCGATGTAAAAAGAAGAAGGGGAAACTCCTCACCAAATGGTACCATCTCTTGGGGTTGGAGATAAGACCGGAAGATAGTGTCCACAGCCAAGACTTGCAAGAAGATCATCCAAAGTCATCGGATTTTAAGGCGGTGGATGACTAGGGTTTTGATTTGGTGTTTGATGCGGGTTATGTTCCGGTGGGGGCGAAACATCACTACTCGGCGGGGAAAAAAGGATGTGAGGCGGATGATGGAGAGTCTACGAATGCGGTGGATACTCCGAAACGAAATTATAAGTGTGCATATATTGTACTGGCAGAGGGCCTAGGTACAAGTATCTTGAATTGGAAGTACTTGGGTTAGAGTCAGAGTAAGGCCAACAGCCCGAATTTCACCGTGACTCCCACCACGACCTTTCATCTATCTCCCGACGGCGAATACTATAGATTATTTCTAAAGAAGAGAAAGAGTTTGGACACAGAAGAGAAGTTGGTTATTAAGGGTTTTTTGATTCTGAAAACAGAAAGCGAGATTTCTAAATCCCTTATATATTATATATGAAGTGATTTTGACATGTGTCATCATCACAATCAATTTCACCAAAAAAATAATGACATGTCCACTAATAATGATGAAGTGGCTTAGAATTAATTGTGACATGTACATTTACATTTAATGTTAACTAGGTGACCGGCCCGCACCCTGTGCGGGTATATACAGATTCAAATTATGGACTTAATAATACAAAATTTTAGAAGTAATAGATTTTATATCATAAGACCACCGTCTTTGAGGTAAAGCATCAGACACAGAAAAATGCTGGTACACGATATTTTAAATGGAGGAGATGGAACAAAGTAACTTCAGTATCAATATGTAGTTATTGTGTGTATTTATAATTGCAACATCACAAAAAAATTTGTGTGTTGAAGGTTGAATTTTATTTTTCAAATCTGAAATTAATAGTATGTAGTTTTTTATAAGTAACATATTTTCTATTATCACTAATTAGAATTGTATTGTATATGTGTTGTAATTCTTTATTTTAGGTGAAAAATATTATTATGCATAAATACATATTCTCTATTATGCTAAAGTTATTTTATAAACAATTTTTGTTGTTAACATACATTTGTACTAAGCTCTANTGAAAAATATTATTATGCATAAATACATATTCTCTATTATGCTAAAGTTATTTTATAAACAATTTTTGTTGTTAACATACATTTGTACTAAGCTCTAAATAAATATTTACGTGTTTCATTATGATATTAAGATATTTTAGGAATGTCTAAACATAGATTTAAAAAGTAAAAACTAATAATCATATGTTTAATCATGTTTTGTTAATACAAACACAATATTTATAATGGGCCCGAATTGCACATAGAAATAAGAACTTGAAATACAAAAGATACCTTCCCGGCCTGAATGGCCCAAAGTAAAAACATCTGAACCAATGAAAAAATTGTGTGGTCGATGACCAATCACTTTAAAAAAAAAAACAGAAAAGGAAAGAACAAAATTTTATGTCTCGATGTTTCTTTATCGAAAGACGATTTCCATGGCCAAACTTTAATCGAAGCTAGAGCACTCATGATACGAACGGCCGCGACTTACTTGTGGTGGTAAAGATGGAAACGACTGCTTGAAGAGGTGCAAATCGATGGCAGCAGATCAAAGTACTTCACCTTTTCCAATCTATTTAGGTGATTTTCTCTATTTTTTCTTTTAACAGATATAAAAATCTAAAAAGAAAATCTTACTTGTTTTTTTTTAACTTGTTATGCATGTTGGATCTGAAGGCATCCGTGAAAAGCACGATGAGTTTGAGATGGTTGAAGAACTTCACCTTTTCAGGTCTCTTTGACAAATTCCTAAGAAGATTTGAAAGACCACAAAAAGGTAAATCTGATTTCGCATCTTTCTTTTTGATCCATAGTTAATAGTTAATAAAAATCTAATTGTTATAAAATTGATTCAAAAAAAATCTGAACAACAAAAGCCAAATAACAGTGGCAAGAAAGCCTAAGATTCTTTTGACATTTTCTATTTACTGTTAAAATTATTAATTACAGCTTTAGTATCTGTGTTTAAGTGTCTTAAAAATGGTAATTTTTTTTTTCCTTTCAGGAATAATATACCCTCAGAGAAAATATTAATATTCAAAATACGAAGATTATGGATTTCATTATTCTATAAAGAGAACATGAATTTAAAATAAAAGATAAGTTATTTCCAGATACTTTGTCTTTTTCACGTTATTATAAATCCTAATTTCCATATAAATACAGCATGATTAGTTTATTAATGTGTGTATAAACAACATAATGAAATCATGTTCAAGAAAATACCTATATAGACCGAAGATAAAATCTTAAATATGAATGAAACATCACATTTGTTGAAGGCATCAGTCTCTAAAATTGCAGGATTAATCAAGAGCTGTGATGCCTCAAATGCATTGGTGATTTGGAGTTCACCTGCAGCGAATATATATGTAAGTATATTATAATACAATTAACATCCACTTGAAAATAATATTATCTATTAATTTTTTTTTTTAATTTAATAGATAAGAAAAGTTTATACCTCTAAATCTCCCGATCCTTACAAACCTGATTAGGTATATGGCTTTTCTTTCTTCTTCTTTACTGCAACCCTCATAGAGGATCTCACACAGCAGGAAACACGAGAGTCACTATTATTAAAAGTAGAATAAGTATTGAATTAATATGAACTTGAAGGATTACTCAAAATAATAAACTTGAGATAAAAAAAATTACTTGATGTCGCGAGGTGTAAACTTCACTGCGACTTGGATAGTTTCAAGCACTCCCAAGTCCATAACCTGACCAATCACATCTGCAAAAAAAATTTAAAAATTATCGTTTCAGTTATTGAAAATATAATAAAATACATTGATGTAAAAATTACGAATGAGAAAATTTGGGTTGAGTGATCCACTCAAAACAGAGACGGAAAGTCTACCAAACTTAGGAACATGTTTTCATTCACAAGAAGAGATCTTGTGTTTTTGTACTATTGACGATACTCATTTTGTAGGAATGATCGGTTGCTCGATAGGNTACCAAACTTAGGAACATGTTTTCATTCACAAGAAGAGATCTTGTGTTTTTGTACTATTGACGATACTCATTTTGTAGGAATGATCGGTTGCTCGATAGGATCCGGTTGCAAGACTGAGGCTATAATTCTGAATGTGTCTCCATGCTTCAACAGGAAGAAGGTGTCCTTTATTTTCCATGTAAGTCTTCTTGCAAGAGGTATGGATTTTATTTGTAGCTAATGTAGCTGTGAATAGATTTGAGAAAACTTTGGCACTTTATGTGTTTTTATATAGCAGTAGGTTAGTCGATGGCTTCTAACTGACACTTAAACAAAATCTTTAGTATGTTCGGATTCAGTTTAGGAAATCCCTAGAGTATTGATGAAGCAAAAATATTTAAAACTATATTGCTAACGAAAATTTATATATCTTAACAATATTTACAATTCGTTTGGTACAGAAATCTTTATAATATCTACGATTTAAAGAAACAATATTTTTGAGTAGTTATTATATAGAGATTCTTCATGGCCAAGTTAAACGATTTAATGCATTCTTAATTTGTAACAAATTTATACGATTTACAAGTTTTGCACAAGGCAGAAGAAAAATTACATAATTCAAATTTGAACCTCCAAAAGGGAAAAAAAGACAGGAAAAGAAAGAAACTTACTTCCATCAGAGAAGTTAGTCGATACAAAATCTCGAGACATTTTAGTTTAGTGATAAGAGTGATCGCCACTTGCATTGCATGTGGTGGAGTTGCTGTGAACTGCGGTTGGCTTTTGATTCTTTTCACCTAGTGATCCGCTATGTTCTGAGGAAGTGGTGTGGGTTGCTGCAGTCTCCTTTTGGCCACCTGCGACCGGTGTCTGATCAGTAACACTCCGGTCCATATTGTTGTGCACTGTGATGTGCCCTTGAGCAGGTTTCTTGGAGGAGCTCTTAGGCTCTGAGTCGCTGTGAATTACGCTTAGAACTTGATTCTTTTCACCGGCTGAGCAACTCTGTTCAGAAGAAACGCTGCTTCCTGCTTCTGTAACCGCAACTTGCTTTTGCTTCAGGCTTTCATTTTCAGCATTACGGTTCAGGTCCCTGTGTTCAGCGGTCTGGTCTTGATTGGTTTCTTTGGCTGAGATTTTGTATCTGAGTCATTTTTATCTGCGGTTTGGTCTTGATTGGTTTCATTGGCTGATATCTTGTGTTCTGTGTCACTATTAACTGCGGTTTCACCTTTGGTTGCTTCCTGGGATGAGCTGGCATCTGATGAGGACATGTTAGAAGCTTTGGTATTACCAGTCTTGCTCTCCAGAAAACGAACAACTACACATGTGATATTGTCAGAACTTCCTCTCTTTATTGCTTCTCCCACAAGTTTCTTGGTTGACTCCTCTGGTTCTTCAACCTCTTTCACCACTGCAACAGCTTCCTGCAACACCATAGAGATCTCAATCAATCATCAAGCTCAATATAAGAGGGAAGAAAGTTAATTGACAAACCTCATTGGAGAAAACATCCCATAGTCCATCGCTGGCAAGGATCAGAAACTCAAGAGAATCATCAATCTTCTCTTCCTGCATAAAACAAGACCTTTTGAACACAAGTAGATGTGTATGTGGGTAGATAAGAAAGTGAAGTCATATATATACCTGAATCTCTGGGTCGGCAATAACATACTCTTTCAGAAGCCGATCACCAAAAGAGCGAGAAACTGCAAGAACTCCTCCAACTCTCCAAGTCCCTATTCAATCTAGGATTCAGAACTATATGCAGTCGAAAAAATTGAGAAATAGATTTAACAGTTTCTTTCTTTATTACCAGCCCACATGACAAAACCACCAGCATTCTCAATGCGTTCACGCTCATCGCTTTGGTCAGGTTTATGGTCTCTTGACACAGCAAAGGCTACAGAACAGAGGAATCATCTCATACAAAAAACATTTCACATTATATAACAAAGAGAGCTTATCAAGAGATATTACCAGTTCCGGCTCTACAGATAACAGCTCTGGAGTCACCAACGTTAGCAACAAGTAAACGATCACGAACGAGAATAGCAGTAGAGGCAGTGGAACCAGCGTCTGTAGTGTGGTTGTTCTCTGACTTGAGAAGTTCAGAGTCTGTATGGTTATAGGCATCAGCTGGAACATTAAAAAGGAACGAAGCAAAGGTTTTAGATCAAACAATGAACGATTAAGTTGAAAACCAAAAGAAGATTACAGAGGAAGTAAACACCTATAGCAGATTTGGTGTCAGAAATGAAGCTAGGATGAGCGATAAGATTGCTGAAAAGATGACGCTTCAAGTACTCAGCTGCTGCAGCTCCACCATGGCCTGCAAGGAACATGATTCAGTTTTTCTCGTTCCTAAGTGGAACAAACCTAATGCGTGATAAAGAATACCATCAAAGACTCCAAAAAGACCAACGATTTCTCCATTGACACCGTCGATCCTAGTCTCGAAGAAGTCTTCCATGGATGATCTCTTCCCAGCTGAGCTTGCATATCCATAGCTAAATTTTCCATCCTGGCTGAAAAGTTAAAATGAAAGGAACATTGTTGATCCGTAAGTCAAACATGTAAGGCTATTGTGGTTCTATTCAAGTATAAACAACATAATGAAATTGTCAAGGATTGGGGAACAACATGTAAGGCTATTGTGGTTCTATTCAAGTATAAACAACATTGAAGATTTCTCCATTGACACCGTCGATCCTGGATTATACACATGTAAGTCTTCTTGCAAGAGGTATGGATTTTATTTGTAGCTAATGTAGCTGTGAATAGATTTGAGAAAATTTTGGCACTTTATGGGTTTTTATATAGTAGTAGGTTAGTCGATGGCTTCTAACTGACGCTTAAACAAAATCTTTAGTATATTCGGATTCAGTTTAGGAAATCCCTAGAGTATTGATCAAGCAAAAATATTTAAAACTACAGTATATTGCTAACGGAAATTTATATATCTTAGCAATATTTACAATTCGTTTGGTACAGAAATCTTTATAATATCTACGATTTAAAGAAACAATATTTTGAGTAGTTATTATATAGAGATTCTTCATGGCCAAGCTAAACGATTTAATGCATTCTTAAGGATTTTAATGCGTATTTAATGAATTAAACAGAGAAAGTATCGCAAAAGGATGTTCTTTGAATCGAGAAAATACAAAAGGTAAGTATTTAAATGGATTTCCTTTTTAGTAGTGTCGATGGTAAAAATAAATCAAAAAATAAATTCTAAAAAATCAACCAATAGAATCGCTAGAATCTTCTGAGAAGGCCTGTGTGAGTGCCACGTGTCAAAGTGACTTCTCTTTTAATGTATAGGGGGATATATACTTTTGGTAAGTTTTTTCTTGCAACAACGCAGTAACACCGACGTCTCTTTCAGTCTAAGAAAACACTACAAATTTCATAATCAAAACCAATTTTAGAGAAAATCATAACAGTTTAGAGATTAAAATTCTGGGATTTTCATCTGAAACAGACATGAACAATGAGGTGTTTGAAGAGATGTTTATACTGATGGTGATGATGGTTGAAGAAGCCATGTTCGCTGACTTTGAGGAGTTGCTTTTCAGCCTCTTCTTTCATTGCATTGATAATGTCGTCTAGTGCTTGAAGAACTTTGATCCTTGATGCGTTCAGTTGCATTGAGTAATCACTTTTACAGACATAAGAAGAAAAGAAAACACAAAAATCAGTGTGGCATCAAATCAAGTCAATACCAGTTTACATCTGTTCGAAAATAAGAAGGAAACAACATTGCTAAGAACTGAAAATCATTGATGACTCTCATCAATCTACATGTGTTTTAAAATCAGAACGAAACCACAATAAAAATCCATAAGAAGCAGCATTAGTAAGAATATAAGAGCCATTCTCGCTGAGAGGATGTTAGAAATGACTATTATCTAGACGTAATTGCATACTATGAACCAGTAAGCCAAAGAGGTACAAAGAATCTGCTATAAAAAAGCAAAGAGGAGACTATGAAAGTGGACAGTGAATTCATTGATCTTAGATCAGAATCGTGAAACGGAAACGAAGAAGAAGAAAGGATTCACGATTCCTGGACACAAAATATGGTTAATGAGAAAGAGGGTGAGGAAAGGTGACGACGCTTAGGATGAATTGAGATTGCTGGACCACGCAGGAAATCAACAAAGAATACCTGTCAAACAAAAAAAAGCCCAAAACCCGTAACACTCAATGACGTGGCGAAACGAAATGTTTTCATTGGCCTAATATAATTGCTGACGTGGGAATGCTGAATGTTGAGGATATCCCCTTTTCGTATTTTATTGATAGAAATACAAAATAATGTTTACCTATTTTTAAGTGATTCTTTTACATATTTTCCTTTCATTTTTAATTAATTCTAATCACTTCCTTTATTGTTTTTTATTTTATTTTAATCACTTCATTTATTGTCTTGCATGAATATGGAGTTCATATGGATTATGTTTTGATATATGAAAATTTTAAAATATCTTAAAAACTAATGTATCTGATTAACCGATATTTGTACCTAAAATAATCATATTAGCCAATTCGATTTGGGTATTTTGAACTCAAACTAAAGATAACCAAATAACCAAAAGTAACTATTGTATATTACTCGATTTGATTCGGTTTCAGTTCTAACGTATAGGACTTAAAAATATTCAATTAAATATATGATGACACATAAAATATATAACTTAAACTATGAAAAACATTAATTTATTAAAATATAAAACTTAACACCCGCACGGATGTGCGGGTCAATCTCGAATTGCCTATTTATTTTTCTTCATTTTATTTTTAGTTTATGGTTACTGTTCCTTTCGAGTTATTCACGTGAATATTTTTCATGGCAAAACACTTTCTTAAGGTCTTCATGGCAGAAAATTAATGAAATTATCTGAATCAGTTGATCACTGAACCTGTAATGTTTTTCTAGAATCAGTCATTAACAATTTCACAGTATCCTTCAATAACATAGTACTAGATTTGTTTCGCGTTTCAAAAGCGCGGAATCATTTTCATTCATAAATTACTTTTAATTAAGTTATAGTTTTGTATATAATTTATAAATTTTAATGTTTTATACATGTATGTCCTTTGTGGAAGTTTCTCAAAAGTTACCCACAACTAAAATTGTCAGAAAAGCATCAAAAGTCTGATCGAGTTTGTCAGTTTATTGTCGGAATCTGAAATTATGTTCCACGAAACCACAGTGTTCCATGAAGTGACATCTCTGTGAGGCATTTCGTCGAATACCTTGACCAATTATCACCCAAAGAAAGCATCGCTAGTTCGCTTACATACTCAACACAGACTCCATATCTTCTCTTTTGAAGGAAGAAGGAGGAGATGGTGAGAGAGAGGGATTGTCGATGGTTGCTGGTGAAAGAGATAGAAAGGTGCCCTTTACTTGTGAAACAAAAATTTTCTACTGATTAATAGACGCATAGTTTTGTGGATAGAAAACCAACACGAGATTTTTAATTTTTGTTACATGAGATATACTCCCTTTGTTTCATTATAAATGTTATTTTAGTTTTATGCACACGGATTAAGAACAATATTAATTTTACATATGTTCTATATACAAACACAATTACCTATACATCTAACCATATTTTAACCAATATAAAAATAAATTACATACTAAAATTAATAAATTTTGCATTGAAAACAAAAAACGAAACTTATTTTTGTAACAAAAAAATCTCTATTTTGACACTTAATATGAAACGGATGGAGTAATAATGATATTGTAAGACAATAGCTGCCAAGGATAATTTAACCTAATTAGTCTAGAATATTGCTAGGCTTTTACTTTCTGCCTAAGTGCTTAGAACTTATAAGACCTATCTATCTATGGTCATTACTGTTATTTTAGAAATGAATTTTGTAATTTATCATATTCTCCATAATTTTAGATTTAATTATATTTTAGAATCTTTATAAATTGAAATAGAAGACAAAGAGTTATGCACATATGATTGAAATTATTTTTAATTATTACAAACTTAAGGTTACAACTTTTTAATGATTCTCTTTTAATATATAGGGGATACAATAGTAAGTTAAGTAAAAAAAAGGCAATACAACGGTAAGTTGTAACAGTAAATTAAACGGATTAATATGTACCAAAATCTTATGTCGATTGACAAACTATGAATTATAAAACCATACATCAACTTTTGTTTTTTGGTCTACGACAATTTAAAGCCCATCGCAAGTATTATCTTATTATATAAAATTTGGTTCTTCAAAGTCACTAATTAACAAAATTGTAACACATAATAATTATATATTTATGACTGTAACATGTGTTAAACTATTTCATAGTTAATATCTTATTATATAGATAATAACAAAAACGAATTTTGTTAAAAAAGATAATTAGAAATATAGTACTTTCAATTTTTAAAATCCTAAAGAAAAGATATTTACAAAAACAATATTTGATAGTTATTTTCCATTTAATATTGTGACATGTATTAAAATCTCATGATTAAAAATATATATACTAAGATAATAAAAAATAATTTCGAAAATATTAATTTTATAATTGTTTATAATTAAAAGAAAAAACGAAGCTAACAGTTTTTAGTTGTAGTTTTTTTTTTTACAAATCCTAAACACAGAGATTTAAAATACCAAAAACTAATTTTGAAAAGAATAATTTTAAATATTGTTTAAAAGTAAAATAGATAAATAAACAGTGTTTAATTGTAGTTTTCCCATTTTACAAATCCAAAACAACAAACTATTCGTAAAATAGATTATTATCAATTTTCCTTTTCTAAAATTCTAAAAAAAATTATTTGATAGTAATTTTCCTATTAAGATTTTATATATGTAAAAATATATCATATAAAGAAAATATCTATAGTAATAAAATGAAAATGATTTTAGAGATAAAAATAATGTTTTAAAATTTTTAATAGCAATTTTTTAAACCATTTTATTTTTAAAAATTCAAGTAAATAAAGATTTGCAAAACAATTTATTTGATACTTATTTTTCTTTGCTAAAATTCCGAATAAAAGGTATTTGAAAAAACATATTTTATAGTAATTGTCAGTTTCTAAAATCTTGAACATAATAGAATTATTAAATAATGTTTAATAGTTTTTTTTAAATCCTAAACAAAAAGTATTTGTAGAATAATTATTTCAAATATTTTATGTTATTTTCTTCTTAAGCTGATGATGATTTTTAATATATATTAAGATAATAAATGAATTTTAAAAATATTAATTTAGAAAAGTAAAAAAAAAGAGAAGTTTTTTTTTTGGTCAACTACCCATCTAGCTTAGATCAAGTGGAGACAAACGAACCGATTCTCCGAGGAGCATCTCTGTCTGTCCGGGTCTGATCTATATGGGAAAATATATATATGGGAAAAGATATACCCTCGCTAAAAGATATAAAAAAAAAGAGAAGTTATAAGTTTTGAATTGTAGTTTTTCTTAATACAAATCCTAAACAAATATTTAAAATAATAAAAACGAATTCTAAAATTTTAATTTTTAATTTTTTAAAAAAATAAAAAAGTAAAGGGTGTTTAATTATAGATTTCTTTTCTACAAATCCTAAGAAAAAATATTCGTAAAATAATTTATTTATTACCAATTTGTCTTTTCTAAAATCATAAGAAAATATTATTGATAGTAATTTTACTTTTAATGTTTTATATATATTAAAATAAATCATGATTAACAAAAATTATATACAAAGATAATGAAAAGGATTTTTACAAATAGTTTAGTTGATACTAAGATAATGATAAAAAGATATTTTATAGTAATTGTTCTTTTCTAATATCTTGAACATAAAAAAAAATTATAAAAGAGAGTTTTATAGTAGTTTTATTTTTTTCAAATCTTAAAAAAATATAAATTGTAGAATAATTCTTTCAAATATTATTTATGCTCGTTTCTTCTTAAGTTGGTGATTATTTTTAATATAAATATACTAAGGTAATAAAAACAAAATTTGAAGATATTAATTTTAAAAGTTTTTTAAAAGTAGAAAGAAAAAGTTAAAAGTGTTTAATTGTAATTTAATTTTCACGAGTCTTAAACAAAAATATTTAAAATAATAAAAAACAAAATTTAAAATATAAATTTTAAATATTGTGTAAAAGTAAAAAAAAAATTAGACGGTGTTTAATTGTAGTTTTCGTTTTTGCAAATCCTAAACAAAAAATAATATTCGTAAACTATATTATTAATTACCAATTGGCCTTTCTGAAATTATAAAGAAAATATTATTGGAAAGATTATTTGATAGTATTTTTTCTTTTAAATTTTTATATATGTTAATGTGTGCTTCTTGAATCTCTGACATAACGTCACCAGCCACCACCCTATATATATTTCTCGATTCTCTCTCTCTCTTTCCTCATCTCCACAAAGCCGTCAATCAAAAATCAGCGCAGCCATGTCTATCAACCACTCTTTTATGATTGTTAGATTTTTGTGAACCCAAAAAATTTCATTTGATTTTATAGTTGTGAAACAACTATTAATTGGAATAATATTTTCTGAACCTATTTTTGTTGTGCTTTCTTTTAAGGGAAATATGGCAGAATCAGGGATGAGAAGTGCCACAAAATGTTTTTGTTAGTTTTTGTTTTCTCAGAAGGCCACATA